GCGCCCCCCCCCGCGGCCCGACCCCCGCCCCTCCCAGGGCGCCCCGGACGATCGATCGCTCTCCCCTTCCCTCGCTCGCTCGCTCGCGCGCGCGCGCGCACCGCGGGTCGGTGGAGACCTCCACCAGCCTTTAGCTCTCTGCAGCGGGCCGCGCAGACTATATCTTAGGTTTCCACGGGGCTCGGGACCCGCGATGCGTGGTGACCCCCGCCCCAGCCGACGCTCCCTCGGAGGGCAAGAAGCCCCTGGACCCGCTGCTCGCGCACACAGACAAGCAGACAGGCGCGGCAACTTTCCCTTCTCTTCCTGGGCTGCATCCGTAGACACAGCCCAGATCTCCAGCCGTCCACCCGTCTCTCACCTCTGAATTTGTTACCCCCCGCACATCTTTCCTCCCCCACGTCCCCTTCCTCTCCTGAAGGAAGCAAAGGGATCTGATGCGTTCGTGCCGGGGTTTAAGCATCCGCCGCCATCGGACCTGCCGGGGTATCCCCTGCTGCTCCACGCGGGCACAAACGCGCGAGGAAATGGGCGGGGCCGCGGGGGCGAGAAGGGATTCCCCAGCTAAGCGCTCGGGGTGTCAGCTCACCTGGGAATTAAGACCCAGCGGCTGATTACTGTGGAAACGGTGCCTCTTTAAAAAGAATGAATAAATAAATACAAACAAAAGTCCAGAGCGGAGTAAAAGGAAAACTCAGCACTAAGACCGAGGCAGGAAGAGACCCAATGCAGCAATCGATGAACCATTCATTGTCCTTTCCAAGAGAAGCATTGCCATTGCCAATACATCACTTCCCCATAATTAATAAAGGAGCATTGCAGCAGGCTCTCGCTCTCTTGACAGCTCATTCATCCTTACAAATCCTTAATGACTTGGCAGGATGAAAGGCTAGACCTACTGTGGAGTTCACACCAGCAACCAAGTCTGTCTGCATGCACAACAGACATGCCTGTAGGTCTCCAGTGGAGCCCCAAGTTGGTATTGTTAAAGTAGCAATATATACCGACTCTTGTGGGTTTTGCAAAGACCGGGGACTGGGGTTGGGGTTTCAGTAGCTGCTGTGTGGGGCAGAGTGAGAAAAGGGAGCTGCAAAGCAGGGGTCAGAGAGTTTTAAGTTCTAGTGGAGTTCTCCCTTAGTACTTACAGTGCAGCTCTGGAAATCAGTCCTGGACTCTAGGAATCTCAGCCTGCCTCAGCATCAAAGAAGCTCCTGGGAAAAGTAGCCCTCTCTCTGGACCAAAGCCAGTGGCTCTCAACTCTGGCTGCACCTCAGGTCTCTTGGGGGAACTTTAAAAAGTCCCAGTGCTTAGGCCACACCCCTGACTGATTAAATTGGAATCTCTTGGGGTGGGACCCAGACTTCAGTAATTTATTTTTATGTTCTCTGGTCAGCTTGTAAGTCCAGTGAAGGTTGAGAGATCCTTTTCTGGATAAGTCCTCCTTAAATATGATGTAGGTATGAATCATTTGGGGATTGCAGATTCAGAAAGGAGCCTGGGGTCTGAATATCTAGCAAACTTACACAGTGCCTTTGATGCTGTCTGAACCAGGACCACAAAGGTCCCTGTGACATTCATGGAGTGGTTATAGACATTGGGCTTAGCTAAAGAAACCCTGAGCTTCTCTTGTCTTGCAAATTTGCAGGACTCTTTCTTTGGCTAAGTTGCATTTTCTTGGATGCCCCACAGCCGCTGTGAAGACTACACAGACAACTGGCACATGGGGTGACATAGAATGTCACCCTCTCTCTGTTCTAATATGTCCTCAGCCAAAAATTCCTCAGAGCCCTAACTTCCAGGGAGAGACAGATATTTGGGCTCACACTTCATGATGGGGGTTTGAAGAGAAAGCAGATGCCTTCTAAATGACAAAGAAAAGTTTGTAATTAAAGACTCCAGTGACCATTAAAAAAAAAAAGAATACAGTAATGAGTTAGGAATTGGAAGTGAAAGGTAAATGAAAGATCAGCAAACTGTACCTCATTGGACTAGATTTTGTGGGAAGGATGTGGCTGGTTATTGTTATTATGGGCCACTTAACGACTTGGTCCAGATTTTTCTTAGAAGTGTGTTTTGTAACTTGAGGTGACAAGAAGCCTGGTCTGTAAATGTCTGTTCCTTCAGTGCCCCAAATCCATCTTGGCTGCAGCTGAGAAGGCATTAAGCCTGTACCTTGATCCTCTTGATTTCTAGCCTAAACTGATAGGTTAATTTGGATTATTGGTGGGGGGGGGGAGAGGGGTGTATTATGTATGTTATGTAAAATAAGAAGCAGTCTAGTGATTTGGTATGCTTTTTGATTTGGCTCAAGTGCTGAGTTCCTAATTTTTGTTGCATTTCTTTTTCCATTAAGGGCATCTTTATAATGGTTCTAAGTCCCCAAGGCAAATCAAACCTTTCCTCTCTCCTAAATATCACACATGAGTGGATTTTTATTTGCAAGAATTATCAAAGGCTACATCAAGAGCACCAGGCTGGGGGAGACGGCAGCTCTAAGTAAGGAAATAGCGAGGCCACTGCAGGCTGAGGCTTTGCAAAAAAGAAACTTTAGCAAGAACCGTTTGGTAAGAAGACAGAGGTTGTCCATCTGGCATGAATAGGACTTCTTCATGGTAATCTTATATATTGATTGCTGTTTTTCCCTCTGGATTGAAGACTTAAACCACCAGTCTTTGCTAGTGATCGATTCAGTCTCTACCTAACCAAAGTGGTAGGATCTGCTGCCGAGGGCACTCTATAGGAATAACATTGGATACTTTCTGAAGATGGTTCACATTTTCACAAACTCTTTCCTAAGCAATACTCAGGGGGTCATGTACTAAATTTGCCTTCAGTTGACATGTGAATGATATGAATTACGTCTAACTTCATATCCAGTCCACAGAAGATGAGATTAATACTGTATGGAAATATACAATGATTTTTTTTAATCCTCAACAAAATGAACACTTTGCTATAGTTCTTTTCTTTTTTTAAACTTTGACTTACTTAAGTCAGAGATACCACTGCTATTTGACTTTTTGTTGTTGTTTTGTCTTGTTTTCCCCCCTCATTGCTTAGGTGATTTTATTCTAGCCCTAGTCTTCCTTCATTCCATCTCATTTCTTACTGTGCTCATTCATAGACTCAGCCTCATACAGATTTCTGACTTAAAAAGCTAAGAGAGCACTTCTAGCCTAGTTAATGAATAGGGTTTATCAGAACCTCAGGAGGAGGGTTTATGCTTTGTTTGATTTTCGTTTTGTTTTTACAGGGACAGGGATCAAACCCAAGGTTTTCTACATGCTAGGTAAGTGTTCTCCCACTGTGCCACACCCCAAGCCCTACTTTTAGGTTTAATATCTTTTTGCTGCTAGTTGTATCCAGGGTTCTTTGTCCCGTGAGGATTATTTCTAACTTCTAACTTCTGGGGGGGGGGTCCGGTCGTGGGGCCTGAACTCTGGGCCTGGGCGCTATCCATCAGCTCTTCAGCTCAAGGCTAGTGCTTTACCACTTAAGCCACAGCGCCACTTCCAGCTTTTTTCTTCTTGCTTATGTGGTGCTGAGGAACCGAACCCAGGGTCTCAGGCATACAAGGCAAACGCTCTACCACTGAGCCATCTTCCCAGCCCCTAACTTCTAACTTCTAACTGCTATTCTTCCTCTTTCCTTGTTCTGGCAGTCCAAATTTTGCTTTTTGGGTTTGTTTTGAACAGTTAAACACCAGTCTCCACATACTCTCAAGACCCCGTGCAGGGTACAGAAATCCAGAGTGGAAACGCAAGCTTCCTGGTGCGTATTCAGGTGCAAAACTCCTCCCCTGTGCTCTATTACCACGGGTTACACAACACTTCCTCCAGATCACTCATGAGTTTGTCGCAGTTGTGAATGTCAGAAACCTACAGTGCCATATTTGAGCATCTTATATGCAAAGGTTGAACTTATACTGATCTGAACGCTTCCTTTTCCATTTTTGCTCCTTATTACACTCAGGAAATATCTAATCTGTGTCCCACAACTTTGCCAATGAGATCTTAAACACAGAATCATTATGGAGAAGAATTAGTGAGTCTGAAAAGAATCCCTATCCAGTTAAGAACCAAGGTTTGGTACTCAGAACACCTGGGTTGAACTGGCAATTCTGTTTTGACTGTGTGACCTTGGGGAAATATTTTAATTTCTAGAATTCAATATTCTTGTCTTGAAAACGTGTATTATAAAATTTACAAGGGGATATAGGGAGGATAGATGTATATACTATAATGTGCTTGAAATAGTTTTTAATAGTAGTTAAATAGTTACAAGTAGTAAATAGTTAAATAGTAGTTAAAATAGTACTTAAATAGCAGTTAGATGATATTTTTATTATTTGTAGTATTAGAGTTTTAAATCATAATTTTTATATTCATAAATTAACCAAAACATTGGGCTCTGAATAGCCTGGCTGTCTCATTATGGATACTGATTATGCTATGGTTTTGTTATGCAGAAGCTGCTTACACTTTCCAATTGTGCAAGGACAGACTGTGATTGCCTTCACCCACAATATCCATTTTCTTTTTATGTCCAAGTATCAGTTTGATTTTATCTCTATTAAATCTGAGAGTAGAGCCAATTTAAACAGACTTCTTTATAACTAAGGTTTTGGGGGTCACATTAATTTTGTTAACGGGGGACTTTGTCTTTAGGACCTAAACTTTTCTACTAATTTTGCAAAGACTTTCCCCACCATTGCCTCAAGGACTCTCTATCAATAGGGACTGTGGATGAGCCCCCCGGGGCTCTCTGTAGCAGGTCCTTGCACTCATCATCCCATTCTGAAGCTCTGTCCCTTAGAGTACACATCAGCTACTTCAATAAATTTCCTTTCTAAGGCTCCGGCTATGATATATGGCTCCCTCATTGCATCTTCAATTGCTGGCCGCTGATTAGACTCTTCTGAGAACTGCCAATGCTTTAGTGGTTACCAAAATGCCTAGACAGTAGCCCTTGAAAACGGTCATTGCAAAGAGACATGGGAGAAACAGACTGAACTTATGGGCATTTTGACCTATGATTTTAATGATTCTGATTTTTTTTAACCACTGGAAGTGCCTGGATAGGGAAAACTCGATATTGTAATTTCTTAAAACTTCAGATGCACACAGTGTAACTTAGAGTCCTTAATAATCATGATCAAGAACAGTTCAGAAACTACATTCTATTTTCTCTACCTCTTAATTATTATGCTGCCACAGAAAAACCTTCACGACCTTTGGATTTATTTCAGCATTTCTAAAAGTGGATAGGAAAATAAGTTATTTGTGTAGGCTTTAAAATATTGTTTTCTATAATTTAATTTTTATATGAGAAATCTTTATGTTAGAGAATCTATGGATTATTTTTATTTTTTAGATCGAGAAAGAAAGTACCAAAGGATTTACTCAATTCTGGCTGAACGTATTTTACTGGTTATTCTTTTTAAAACACGACTGAAAGCTGCCTGGCTATATCCTTGGAGATACTTAGCTATCTAGTACCTGGTCAGAGGTCAGTTCTGATGGCTGTGTGCTTTTGGGTTGTTTGCTTATGTTTTTGAAGAGGAAGCTTTGTTCTCTTGGTGCTTCTAAGGTTCAGCTTATTAAAAACCATGGGCACCACACTACATAGCTAAGTTCAAGACATGAAAAAAATGTCCCATTACCTCCAACACAAAGTCTTTTTGATTCTGTTACTATACTGAGTATTGACATTGTACACAATATACAAATGAGGAGTAGTCTTAGAAACTTAAGCTTGTAAACGGCTTAGGGTCTTTCTAGATCGCACAAAGACACATCTGCAGATTGGAAAATATGGTCGAGAAAATCCAAGTTATCAGTATAGTACATCAATCTTTCTTGTTGAACCCTTACTCCTCTCTCAGAATCCAGAGCACTTTTGTGTGCATTGTGGATAAATGAATAGAATGCAAATGTCCACTGAAAGGGGCTGTTGTATGTGGAAAGAAGAGAGAAGATTTTACTTACAGTAAGTGTTGGCCCCAGTCCAATGCAAGTGGCAACTTAATTCCAATTACCTCCTTGCTGAAGTAGTGCTGACCCTAGTTAGCAACTGACATAGTTACCGTATCCACAGCCATGGTCCCGCCTGACCACCTGCTCAGTGATGACAGATAGATTGTCCATGACATTACAGAAGGCTGGACCACACGGAGATGGCTATCTGACTAAGCTACAAGATTGAGCTGTAAACTGACCCTCTGTAGGCTATCTTGCGAATTAC